AGGGCCACGGAGCTACTCATGTACCCGAGAGAAGGCCTTTCACTGGGGCTGGAGGAGAGGGGAGGAAAGACTGGCTCTCTGGCCTCTGGGCTGTCTCTCCTGCAGCAGGTTGGCTGCTGGCAATTCAGTCTTAATGCCTGGGTAAGTGCTCAGCGCTAATACACACGCTGCTTTCACACTCGTGTGGCCTTTTTAAAATCTTCTCTCTGCTTTTGTTAGACTGACTCAGTGCCAGGACTGTGGTAAAGGATGCACTGTCTTTTTATCTGCTTCAGAGTGGCTTAAGATGAATGTGTGTGTGTGTGTGTGTGTGTGTGTGTGTGTGTGTGTGGGTGTTTCATAAGGAAGAACTAAGAGATAGATTGATGGATATGGCATTTGAAGATGTGCATTTAGTTAAAAAGTGTCTGATCAAAGGTTGTTGGAAAGGAAGTGAAGTCATAATATATCAACAATATGATTATAGCATAAGTATTCTCGGTGTTTATTTTCAGCCTGTGACTTTAATTTGCATTTAAGAAAATTAGTTCTGTTGTCATTTCATTTTTCTTTATTGCTTTAAATTGACAGAAAAAATATTCTTACATTTACTTGAGGCTTAAAATGCATTAATAATTCTTTGTTAAATAATCCTGCACGTGTATGTTGCTTTCACTGTCATTAGAAGCAATATTACACTTTTTTTCTTAATTTTTTTTAACCACTTGAGAGAGTTTTCTGTATCATATTTGTTTTTATATGAAGGAAGTGAAAAATTGGCACCGTGTTTTTCTGTTTTGAGAACAGAGGAGGGAAGTTGCTGTTTATATTTTCATAGAGAGTCATAGTTAGGCATTTGTTTTGTTTGTATGCATTTGTGTGCGTGGTGGGCGGATGAGGGTTGTTATAGTGACGGTGACATCATCATAGTTCCACATTCTTTTGAAGTTCTTCTGTCTCATTTCGAGCTTTCTTTTCCGAACGGCACATATTGGCTGCATCTATTTCTTGCTCATTTGAACATTCCCATACATAAACAAGCGTGGATGTTTTCTGCATTGTGTCCACTGTGCTTGGATGCGAGCCATTGGCACGTACGCTTCTCGAGTTCAAGTCCTTGGCAGCTTTTTTTGCTTGCTCTGGAATTTCGCAGGCCTGAGAGCCCCTCTATCCATCATGAGGATGTCACACCCCCTGTGTGTCCCCCCCCACCTCAGCCCCACTACAGCTCATTAGAGCCCACAAGCTCCAGTGGCAACTCATCATATCATGCCGTAAAGCGAAGAGAGGCGCTCTGGCCCTCAGGGGCCACAAGGTCGCCACCTTCACATTTTGTCTTTAAATTGCTCTGCAAGGTGCCACCAAGCAGAAATGTAGCGCCAACAGCTCTTTCCTGCTGCTGTCCGGCCCTCTGTCTTCCTCTTTCTCCTTGTATCTTTTCCACAGGCCTCTCACAGAATAACCATATATCACTATAACCAAATATTGTGATTTTTTCCTAATAATCAGCTAAGATTTACTTACTATCAGTGATCTTTTTTTTTTTTTACAATTATTATTATTATTATGATTTATTATGGAAATTTATATAGTAAATATATATTTTTCTAACTATGTTCTGCTCTTAATTATTTAATTGACTAAAAAAACACTTTCACAGTCACTATGAAATGATTATGTTTTAAATAATTTTAAAAATATTTTTTTGTAATTAGTAATTACAAGTAATTATTTTTCTAATAATCATCTGATGTAAGATTTACTTAATATCAGGGGTCTCGTACATTTTAAGTTGTACATTTTAAAATATGAGTATTATGATTTATTTAAATTGATTTATTATGGGAATTTGTATAGTAAATGTTTTTTTCTTTTTTATGATCATCTGCTCTTAAATATTTAATTGTCTATAAAAAACAACTATAAAATGATCATTTGTTTTTTTGCTTTGATGTAAATTTACCTTATAAAGTGGCCTTGAGTATTTGCCAAAGGCGATATATAAATTATAAAAATAATAATAATTATATGTAGGCTATATAAGAATAATAATAATTAAAATGAATTTCAAATTGTTACTAAATTGATAGAAAATCAATAATTTGTTGCTCAAAAGGAGTGGGAACCCTGATATATTCTTTCTCTTGAGTGACAGTGTGTATTTTGTGAGTATAAAAGTCATCCTTGTGATAACTAAAAACTTAAAAACGTGTGTGTGTGTGTGTGTGTGTGTGTGTGTGTGTGCGCGCACATTACTTTGTTTGTGAACGAGAGAGGAAGAGAGAGTGAAGGACAGGATTTGATAGACACTGCATCAAAATGAGTGTGACATGCTCTTCTAAGACAAACAGGCCTCTCCATTAAAACAGGCCCGGCTTTTGTAAGACCACCACTAGGGGTCATGACCCCAAGCAGAAACTGTCAATCTCATTGGTTCGGAGGGGGGTATGTATGTCTACAGATTTACTCAAACACTCAATGGGTATACAGACAGATTTGTTGACAAACATTAAGAGTATTTTATATTTATTTACCTCGTTCAAACACATCTGCAAACTGCCGGTTTTCTCAGGAAATCACCACCTCTGGAAATCCGGTTTTCTTTCTTTTTTAATATTATCATTATTATTTACCTGGTTATGTGAATTAGTCCTTTAGCCTTTTTTCCTCTGTGTAGTTGTGATGGTTGTGGTGGGAGGTATTGGCAAACGATTAAACAGGAAGTAGCCCGCTTTCTTTGCACATAATAGGGAAAAAGACGCCCACATATTTTCTTTGTGTTCCTTGTGTGGGTTTATTGTGCATCTCGCTGGACCGCCGTGTGTCAGTCTCTAAACTCAATGAGTTGTTTAGAAGTAGGGTTTTAAAGAACGCTTATTCTACGATTGTTAGCGTCCGACAGTATGCGGTTGTCCGGCGAGAATGCACGGGAGCGTACGTAGGTGGTCTTCCTCACTCCCCTGAGTTGCTAGAGACAATTAGCCATGTCTGGAAGAACAGGGTAAAGCCATCGTACAATAGCAACGGGGTCAATAGAGCCAGATTTATTGTGAGGCTTTTCTTAAGACTGAAGACTTAATGGACTTGAATAGCACTCAGAAGGGAAATTGTTTGAAGAATGTGTTTTTGTATGGTGATTATCCATTGCGCCGTGTTATTTTTGTCCCGCTGTGTGTCTTGTCCGGAAGGCATCATGACAACAAAGAAAAACCAAACAGAAAAGTGCGTGCGTGCAAGGCCTAAACGCAGGTCCACGTTTTTGCAGGCGCGTTTCTCCCGTGCGAAGAATAAAAGTTAAAGAAATTCAATTTCTAGCTATTCCAATCGACCTCCTTTTTTCTTCTCAGGGTCTTGCTGATCCGTTTAGGTGGAGAAGCGGGCAGAAACGCTACTGTAGCAAGCCGCGATAGCGTGCTGCGCTCTCCAGAAGCCAGATAAACGGGATGCCCGGCTATTATTCATGTGGCTGTGTGGCGTTTGAAAGGGGTTCTGTTAGGCTCAGTGACTGTGATGTAAATCATTTGGCTTGTCTCTGGGTGAATGTGGCCGCAGTGGACAGCCATTTGGAGCTGTCCCTCAATGGAGAGGCCCTGGACAAAATAACTTATTTAAATGGCTACTAAAGCCTTTCAGCGCAGGGAGAATTGACAACATTCTTTCACATCATTACTGAGGGGGAGGTTATGGGGTGGCTTGCGGTGGAGGGGTGTGCGGCACCGTTCCCTTAATGGCAAACTCGTCAGCTGTGTTTGGCAGCTGTCATCATCCCCGTCTGTTTTTCTGATGACAGGTCTTTCTTTTTAAAATGTATTTTTATATCTTATCTCTCTAGTTGTTTTTCTCCATGGCCTCGTGCTTTCCTTTTCCCATTTCTCTTTCTGTCTCCACACTATTTTCTGCTCTCAGGGGCCCCCGAAAATGTCCCCAGAGCCCCTTTTCTTTCCTCGAGCTGCTCTGTTCAGTTCATTAATCTTTCATTGGGAATATGGCAGAGTGGAACGCCCCCAATGCTGAAAGCGGCCTCTCTCTGTGCCTGTTTAGAGGCCCTGGATGGACACTTCAACCTCTCAGGCCTGGGCCCTGGTGTCCTTCCCATTCTCAAAGCTCTGATATTTTAGTCCTGACAAAAGGATGGCTCACCTCTGCTTTTATAAAACATGTCCTGACATTTAACGCCATTGTGTTTTTAACAACATCTCAAGTGCTGGATTTAATTTGGCACGTTTTAAATAAAGACAGTGGCCCCTATGTGCCTTTTTCCGAATGTGCTGCAGGACATGCACAGCTGTCAATCATACGTGCAGGCGCCTCAAAACCCGCATGTATGCGAACAGCTCGAGATGTTTTCCTGTCAGTCGGCTTGGTTTGCGCCGATTTATGCAGCGTCTACGGAAGCAAATCCCAGTCCACGTGTGGCCCGTCAAATCTACGGCACGGCAGTAATCTGGTTAGGTCGCGTGTACTGGGAATACACTAATGCCAGGCTATGCCTCAGCACCCCTCTGCTCGGCTGTAATCTTGGGTAATTGAAAATGGGGCCTGTGCCACTTAAGAACACAAAGAGCAGATTACATAGCTAAAACCAATTTGACCAAAATGCAGAAATGGATTTTCTCTCTTCCCCTCCACCCCTCCTTTACTATCTTTTATAATGCAAACCCTTTCCAAAACCAGACCCTGAAGGAAGAGGAAGGGGTGGGAGCACGAGATGCGGGTAACCCAGAAAAAAAAGGAGGGAGATTTGGTTTATTAGGTGGTTTTGGTGATTGTTTGTTTGGGTCACGTAATGCAATCAGGCACTGTGTCTTTTATGCATCCAATGACTGTTGAATCAATAAAGTGCACGTCTGAAAGTGTTTTTAATTACAAACCACCCTGTTCTGAGAATGGGCTTGTGGTTTGTGATGGACGCAGAGTTGAAATGGAGGCGCCGGTGTGTTTCTGCCTCAACCCAAACATGTATTAAAAGCTGCTGCTTCTTCTTCCCACCCCCTTCCCTCTCTTTTTCGGTTTCTTGCCAGTCTAATAAGGTCCCCGTGGTACAGCACCCTCACCATGTGCACCCGCTCACACCTCTGATCACCTACAGCAATGAGCACTTCACGCCTGGGAACCCCCCTCCACATCTACAGGCAGACGTGGACCCCAAAACAGGTACATATGCATGCACGTCTTCCTTTACATTCATGAATTTCAAAACAAGCAGGACGAAACCCAAGGCTAACCTTCAGGCCTGGTTAACGAACGGCGCTGTCACGGTTACACTGTGATCTCGCCAGTCTGCATTCACAGCTACCTGGTAAGATGCATCAGAGTGTTTCGGAGTCGTCTTGGCTCAGGGCCAAGGTTGCACCCCTCCTTTTGTGTGCATGTTGAGATGGAGCTGTTGACCTGGGTCGGTTAAGCCTGTGGAGCCACTTGACTTCTGGGAGATGTAGCTCTGTTACTTAACTGCGGGATCCCAAAGCTATTCTTGTTCTGATTTGGAGAAACAAAATCTCAGTTTTTGCCCACTTTTGATGACGCACAAATCGGACAATTGTGAAATCTATATTTCCCAACCAGGATGAAAACTGTACGAGCAGGAGGTTTACCAGGAAACTCGATTTGAAGGCTTATGTGGTATCTGTCAGGATTCTCATCTCAAAAACAAAAAGATTTCTGTTCAGGTGTGATATAATGTCATTAGGTGGTATGTTTCAGAATCAGATTATCACACAGGCATTTTCCTCTTCTGCAACACTATACAGTCGAACAGCTGCTCTTCAAAGCTGTCGACAACCTGCATGTTGATTTTAGAGATGCTTTTTCTGCTCTCATAACAGACCTTATCACTAAGGGCCTCTTTAAGGACTCAGAGACTGTTTAATGTGCTGCTTAATGGCTCGCTTAATTGAGTTTAGAGTTTAATTAATTAACAAATTGTATTAAGACCACTGTACGCAGTGCCAATGTGCTGTGGAGGCATTGTTTTCCTTGTTCTGCACGGCTAATATTAGCCAGCAGTATCAAGCAGAATTTTTACACTTGTTTTAGTCGTTTACCTTTAGAATGACTACTTTTTTAAGTGTTTATTTTTACAAAACCAAATTTATTAGATTTTGAGGCAAAATGGCATCAAGTAGATTAAATGGAAATACATTGAGTCAGTCCAAAGTCAGCTAGCTTGTTAGCTTGATGTTTTTTTGTCATTCACATTGTTGCTAACTTGTGCTATTGTAAACCACTGAATTCTTATTTAGGGTTGTTTTAAACCTTCTACCCACCACATGTAATGTTAATAATGTGGTTAATTGGCCGCTAAACTCTAAAACCAATATCGGGACCGTTTCCACACTTGAACAGACATCCACCGCTAATGTGTCAGTCTCTCTTAAAACATGCTGCAGTGTTTGCGTTGTTGACTTGTGAACCTCAATTATCGCCTGTTGTTAATCCTCTGATTCGATAGACAAATGTGACAGGGCTCTGTATTTTTTCTCCTCTCCCCCGTGTGCCATACAACATCGTGGCTGCCTCCACAAGCTTTGATCAGAACGTGTGATTTAGGGCCGTGCATGTGAGCTCAACCTCCTCCCTCTCCCACCTCCCTCTGATGTTGACTTTGTTCAATTGTGTATCTTACAAAGGATAAATTTAACACTTAAACTTCATCGGGGAATTTTTGTGTCAGGACAAGAGCAGAAACATTTTCACACCGTTCACATACACATCTCTTTCTCTCTCTCTCTTCATTCTTTTCTTTGCATTTTTTATATTTCTCTTGCAGGAATCCCAAGGCCTCCACATCCTTCAGATATATCCCCCTACTACCCTCTGTCACCTGGCACTGTAGGCCAGATTCCCCATCCGCTAGGATGGTTAGTACCACAGTAAGCAGCCCAATTTTATTCCTCTTCTTTCGTCTTTGTGATGCTGTTATAACATGATGTTAAGTGGGGTCCAAAGTCTGAGATCTTAAAAATGCTTTTAATTAATCAGTTTTGAATATAATTATTTGTTATTCAATATGTATGTTTAATATATATATCAAAACACGTAAATCTTAAATAAAATATTTAATTAAAATAAAATATTTACATTAATATGTAATTATTTTATTTTACAGGGTTCAGTTTGATCATGAATCACAGATCCCAGATTTTTATTGAGGAACCTGACTTTTGTGCACCACTTCATATATTATGACATATTTAAGACTGCATTTGTTCAAATATGTTGCCTTTTGCCATTGTGTATCTTATATTCTCCAGGCCTCTGTCCGCCTTGCTGTGGGCCTCTGGGTACTTAAGATGCAGTTTGAGACTTCGGCCATCACAGGACACAAAAGCTAACTCTTAACCCTCTGTACAGTTTATACATTCTGGAAAGGCATCACTGGGGCCCACAGCAATGCACCCATGGCTTTCTTCATCCCCTAAACTCTAAATTGCCTCTTTGTGGCAAATGCTATTTTGCGTGTCTCTGTATTGTCCAATTAGAGTAATGAACTGTGATTGCCAGTATTTTACCCACAATTCCACACGGGGGCTCTCCCCTGGTAACTCTTGTCAACACTTGTTAATATGACAAAAGGCTACAAATTAAGCTCTGTTAATTTAATGTTTTCTCACCGCGATCTAAATACCGAGAGAGGCCCCAAGCGCAGCCACGGCCCTTTGATTGTCTGCACTTTATTTTGGTATAAATTTACATTCATTATTGTTTGTCTTTGGATGTGTAGACCTCAATTAGCGTGATGGCTCCATTAAAGGGGCCGGTGCTTCGTCTTTAATTAGCACAACAAAACACCTAGTTTCAGCTCAGGGAGAGGGGCTTCCATCGACACCAAGCGCGGGGTTATGAAATTTAATTAGCCATTCCTATCAGATTTGTGGCATTCAAATTGTTCAGAGTTTGCTTCCCTTTGATCTGCGCTCTGCAATCCCCTAGATTTTTGTTCTGATCAAATGAGAATAAAGCTGCCTGCATAGAGAGTGCTTTTTTCTCTTTTTTCATCCCTTCCTTTACCTCTCTTCCTTTCTTCTTTTCCTAGGCAAGGTCAACCAGTTTACCCAATCACGACGGGAGGTTTCAGACACCCCTACCCAACTGCCCTCACTGTCAATGCGTCCATGTCAAGGTGAGTTGAGCCTTGGGATGCCGCGTGTCAAAACCCTTGCAAACTTCTCCCTTAAGGAGAGACAGCTCTCACCTCAGTGTTCAAAAAGACGGTCCCGTGCGATCCGCTATGTATTCAAATATTAATTATTATCATTTTATAATGAGACCCCAAAAGAACGTTTACCCCGACTGAATGGCAGAGAACGAGAGGACTGTCAGTTTAACTACGGTCACATGCAAGAAGTAAACCGCTGCAGATTTCGGGGGCCGTCGTTGGACGCTGAGCGAGAGCTTTGTGTGGCCCGTTGGGGTCTGGTTCAAGTGGCAATTTGGACGCAAATGTCCCTAGGAGAGCACTAATGGTTGTGTGGGTGGGTGGGGGGATTGTGGGATATGCGTGTGAGCGTTTGTTTGTTTTAACTGTCACAGTGATTGCTCCCTTGTGACTGTTACTCATCTGTTATGTGAGAAGTGGGAGGTGTTTGCTGTAGATGACAAATCTCTGCTTGCTTTATAGCTTTTATATCATTTGAACACAAAAGTGAGATGCAAACAGTTTCATTTGGTGGTCACCTTCTTCTACATTTACTCGGCCTTTCCCTCCTAATCGGAAACATATGATACTCTTTTCGCAATGATGATGAATGTGAAGATGATGATGATGATGATGATGGTGGTAGTGCTGAGACTAGCCAGAGAGGCACAGAGGCAGATCTGGTTTATAGTTTCGAGAAATGGAGACCAACTCGAGCCCAGCCTGTGTCTCCAGACAGGGACAAACTCTTGTTTAATTGCAGAGTGATTGGAAAAGCAGCTCTGGAGGCCTGGCGAGCTTAGACCAGAGGACGTTGATGGATAAATGTGAGCAGGGAGGGAGGAACAGGGAGGGGTTTTGTGCGCCTTAAACACTCAAAACTCAAAGAAATGTCTCATACAGTGTTTCTGTTCAGGACATTAGGATGTTTAACATGCTCAAACATTGGGCCCTCATTCATGAAACACGAACGGAAACAAATATGTGTGAGTTGTGTAAAATTGCTTGCATAATTGTACATTTTCGTGTACAAAGTATAATTATGAACAATTTAGACATGAAATTTAAAAAAAAAAAATTTAATCAAAAATGAGAAGAATGAGTTTTTGTGTGAATCATTCGTAAAACATTTTTTTCTAAATTAACTTCTCTTTGATGCAAAGAGAAGTTAATTTAATTTACTGTTATGTACATAGACAAATGTATGCACAAATGGTTTTACGAATGATTCATTCATGAAATGAGCAGAACAAATTTGAGTAAAATCTTAAAGAACAACATGCAAATAAAAAATACATAAGAATAGCTTATGAACAGTTTATTTTTGAACCGCAGATTACTTCATGAAACATGAGCAGAACAAATTTCTTCGTAAGTAAATCATAAAACAAAGTAAATTATCTCAGTGAATGCAGCAAATTTACACAAGAATGTTAAAACAAACAATTAACATTGATTCTGCTTGCGTGAGTAAATGAGGCCCAATCTCGCGCTTGCATCTAGTATATTTTCATCATCCTCACAGTTTAAAGTTGTCAGGCCAAACATAACAGCTCTGAAACACAATATTTAGCTCTGCAGTGATGATCGGAGTGCAATGGCAGCTGCTCTGCTTATGAGCACAGGGTCTTTGCAGCTGGTCCCGACTCTTAAAGGTCCATTTTTATTAACAGCTGGCTCTGAAACCAAGACTTCACACATTTGACACCAACAGCTTTCACCCCGTGTGTGTTTTGAGGTCTCGGCTCCATAGAGAAGTCGTTTGTACCCTGCCAAGGCCTGAAATGAGCCCATTCTGCCTGCTTCGCGTGGGTCTGCAGCCTCTGCTCCGGCGCTAGACCTTCACTTAAGTGACAGCTGATTCTGTTCTAATGAGGCCTTTATATTGTGATCATCCTATTTCCAGTGCAGGCTAATTGAATCTTCTGAATGGGGGCTAGGGGGATTGGCGATGTGCTGGGGAAGAGCTAATGCGTTTTGATAATCTGTAATTGAATTAGCATAGATTAATAAGTGGTGGTCTTGTGTCTCTGCGGAGGGAAGGTGCTTTAGCATGTTTGTGTCAAAACCGGCGGCATCCGCTGTCACCAGCCTCCTGCGCAAAATAATGAGCACCAGGAAAAGGTTTCATTAATTGTGTTTATGGTTTTTCTATGAATAAAGAGGGCGAGAGAGAGGGAGGGGGAAGTCTTGCTTTGTCTTCTTTCACAGTCAGTGGACGAGAACTCCAGGAGGCCTCGGGATTAAGAGACGCCCATATGTTGCTCTCTGGTGCCTGTCTTCGGCTCATAGAGATTCTGATGGCCCTATCTGCTGCCATTTATTATGCAGTTAGCACACAGGGCTTCATGTAGCGATCTGCTTTTCACCCAGGTAACACTTCAGCCTCCTAAAACATACATTTCAGATCACGAACAGCGCGGACTCGGATCCGGCAATTGAGCTACATGGTTTTGATAATGGGGTTGGAGTCTTACAGGTGTATCGGCCGTCCTGGGTGATGGGGGAGGAAGTGTAGGCCCCTCGGCCCCTGCCCGTTCCTGCCCTTTGATATGTTCCTCCGCTCCTATCCCTTCTTTTTCGGTGGAGGAAGAGAAACCGAATGACAGACAGAGCGCACCGGTGGGGTCATTATACATTAAACAGGCGCCGAGGCCATCGCTCCGATTGGCAATTAAATGGCACTCACTGACACTCGGCTGGTGTGGAAGAAGATTGAGACATTGGACCCTGCAGGGGCCATTCTCGGCACACCTCTCTGTCTCACTCTTCCCTCAGCAGGGCTAAATTGGTGGCAGGCTCTGCTGCGTGCTGATGAGCGGAATGATGCCCTGTGCTTCAAAGGGATGGCCGTCATGTTTAAACCATAACCTGGGCCTCGCTATGGCAACAGCGGCACGGGTGGGGGCGGCGCTGATGGGACAGTCAGGAGGAAAAGGAGGGAACAATTGGACGGCGGAACAGAGGAAATTTTAGCAAGTATGCAAGGACAGAAAGAGAAAGAAAAAAGGTGGGGGCTAATGATCACACCGCTGCAGCCACAACGCCGGTCCCCCCTCGGTAGAAGCGGACGGGCGGCCCGAATGACATGGCACAAACACAAATGTGTCAGGGATGAAGGGAAGAGAGAATAGGAGAAGAGAGATTGGGGGGAAACACAGTCCCCAGAGAGAACCTCCAACAGAAACTAGTTGTTCCTTGTGAGTTTACTCTCATCATTATATTCTGGCTCCAAGCCATATAGCCACACTCAAGCAGATAATGAGCTGTTTGAAAAAAAAAAAAGAATTATTCCTTCTCTTTTTTTCATCATCCTTCATTCTTTCTCTCAGATTTGTGTACGGCCATGCACAACTGGGACGCACTACACCACACACACACACACATACACACACTCAGGCACAGATATGTTTATTTGTACACTCAGGAATTCTGCGTTCCTACAGATCTTTATATAATGCTAGAGGATGATATTATAGACAAGTCCTTCAATCAGCCAGGGAACGTTTTAGTTTATGTTTTAAGGAAAATAATCAAATTGTAAAATAATTGAGAAGAAAATGACCACCCTAAATAGTCTCAAAATGACCACACTAATCAAAAATATTATTTTGAATCAGAAAAATACTCATGAAAACAATTTGATCCTATTTAATTTATTCATAAATGTTTGTGGTATGTGAGTCATCAAAACACATTGTTCATAGTAATTTTTCTTTTGTCAAAATGTAGTGTTTTCTCCACTTTGAAATGAACAAGGCCATGTGGATGGAAGAAAATAAAATTAACCAATAACTTTATATCCCACTCAAATCCCAGTCTAATATTTTGATGTATCTTAAGGTTTTTATTTTTGCCCTTATTTATAATGAATTATCATGCATGTTGTTTTGAAGAAAACAGTTGTCAAAAATGATCAAAATGTAACAATTTCTCTAATTTCTCTAAGACTGTGCGGGTGGGAAAAAATTATATCCAAGAATATTATAGCCCACTTTTTGTTAAAGACAATATAAAAATAATGTTTTGATCATTACTATTCATTATTGTGGTCAGATTATCAGTGCATGTTATTCTGAAGAAAAAATGTTTCATATCAAAACTCATGCAATTTCTCTGCCTCTGAAATGACTTTTTTGTTTTGCTTATGTGGCTGTGGGGAAAAATTATGTTAATAATATTAACCAGTAATTGAATCGTTGCCCACTTTTATGATGCAATCAAAACCTCATGGATAAATGTATATCCTTCCCAAAATTCACTCCATCTGTTTTGTTTGATTTCGAAATGCATCGCATTTTGGAACTAAAATGCTTTTTGTTTCATGTCGAGTTCTAGATTTTGGATTTGTCATTTATTGCCGTTTCCCTTTTCCCACATAACAGATGTATTAGGTTACTGCTGCTTTGTCTTTATAGCCAATGATGTGTCAAGTCTTTAGCTCATAGTCAGTGCTTTGCTCTGTGAATGTGTGTGTCCATCCATCATTTCACCCGTGTCCACTCTGACGATTTACACAGTCTTTTCTCCTCCAGGTTCCCTCCTCACATGGTGCCCCCCCACCACAGTTTGCACACCACAGGGATCCCCCACCCAGCCATCGTCACGCACAACGTCAAGCAGGAGTCCTCTCACAGTGACATCGGCTCCCTCAACAGCTCGTGAGTTCACTTTACACTTATCAGTTCTCTATTAATCCAATGCTGTCACAAGCTGGTATGCACGCGCTAACATCCGATCCCTCCCATTCGCAGGAAACAGGATGCGAAAAAAGAGGAGGAAAAGAAGAAGCAGCCACACATAAAGAAACCTCTGAACGCGTTCATGCTTTACATGAAGGAAATGAGAGCCAAAGTGGTGGCAGAATGCACACTGAAAGAGAGCGCAGCTATTAACCAGATCCTAGGCCGAAGGGTGAGCGTCTCTAACGCACCATGCAAAGTAGCAGCAGGCTGTCTCAACTACTAAGACCACAGATTGCAGTGTTGTCGGCGGTGGAAAAACACTGCTTATTCACGTTTCTATTTCTGTGTAACTGTAATCTTGCTCAATGTTGCTACTGAGTAAAAGTACAATACCAGGGGAAGGGGAAATTTTAATGACAGTGGTTGGAAACACTTCCGTGTTGTTTGAGCCTAAAATATCAGTGGTCTCTTCCTCTGTGATGGCCGTAGCTTTGACGGATGTGTGTGTGTTTCTATGTGTGCAGTGGCATGCTCTGTCTCGAGAGGAGCAGGCCAAATACTACGAGTTAGCCAGGAAAGAACGACAGCTTCACATGCAGCTGTACCCCGGCTGGTCGGCACGAGACAACTATGTAAGTTTTTAAGTTTTCAACAAGTAACAATTGTTTATTCCCTCCCCAGGGGCCGCAGAGCAGTTTAAAGCCATCTAGATGTGTATTGACAATCACCCAGCAGCCTTTGGAGAAAACTAAAGCACACAGACCTTGTTTTAGGTAGCTGGGCTTCCCCAAACCAGTAAAGCAGACCAGCCTAATCAGCTAAGCCAAGCTGGAAGACTTTTAGGTCCATCCACTGTACGTGTGCTTTTCCTCAGTGCAGTCAGATCTAGTTCTTTCCACTGCTTTCATTAGTATTCCACTGGTTCACCTAAAAAGAGAAAGGCGAGCTGAGATCAGAGTAATTAAATAACAACAGGGCCTAAACGCCTCGCAGCTTTGATGAAAGAGGACATCTCTCTCCACCGCCAGAAATGGGGAACGAGCGCAGCGTTTACTGTTTCGCCGGAGTTTTGCGCCTGACAAACAGCCCCACCGCCTAGCCTGTCAACTCTCCTTGGAGTCTGACCATGTTACTTGACTCGCCTAGTCAAAGTTCCTCAACCGGAGCATGATAATTGCACTGTTCAGGCCCGACCTCGGCCTCAAAGCAATCACGGACACGTCTGACGGAACCGTAGCCCGTTTTCGAGAAGGACAAACGCAACAAAAGTTCTCGCGCTCTGCTCTTCCCCTCCAGTAAACCGAGCCGCTCAAAGAAACCTCAAGAGCTTCCAATCGTTTCACAATGAAAGGAAAACTAAGCAGCAGCGAGACAACAAGGAATAAACAAAAGGAGAGCAATAGAAAGATAGGGAAAGTTCTGTTTTGTCCTGCAGTGGCATTTCAAACCTTCAGGCTCTTACATTAATAAATAAATCAGTGAAAACATTGGGCTCTCTTGTTTCACCAGCTGCCCCCCACCCCCTGCCCAGCCCCCCTCCAGCATTTATCGTACTGTGATATGTATGTTTTGAGAGTGTGAGAGTTAATCACCCTTGTGACTGAGTGCCAGCCTCCGAATGTGCCGCCCATGCTTGTGTCACTGTGCTCATGTGGTCGTAACTTTGGACTGTGCCTGCTGCATGCTTTTTATATACCTGCTTATGTAGTAATAATATAAAAAAGATTTTTGTTTGGTTGGTTGTTTGTTTGTTTAAATTCACCCACTTCTTTCAATTAAGGAGGTTTGCTAATTACATTGATTTGATTCACTTGACCGTTCTTCTTTATGATGCTGATTACTGTGAGATATTGTCCAGGAAGTATGCAGAGTAATGTATTTGCGGTCTCTCTCCACCATGGACACCTTTTGAAGGCCTCTGTATCTTGTTCTTTTTTTTTTTTCCAGAACACAGAGAATATTTTCCAAACCCTTGCCTTTCACTCCCTCCGATTACAGGTGCTAATGTCATTTTGAGTCTTAAATTACTAACTTGCTTTTTTCCGCTTTTTTTTGGTTCTTTATGTATTTGTTTATTTGTGCTTGTGCAGTATATCAAATATATAATTATCTTTATTTAATGAATAATGCCACGTATTTGCTTCATATATCTTTTATTTGCTAAGCTCAGTTATTCTCTTGAAGAATATGTTGCTTTATTTTTTGCTCCTTTTCAGTTGTTTCCTTTGCTCCATTTTTCATTATACACATACTTCCATCAAAAGATGCTTCTGTGTTAAAAGTCATTTGTTATTAAGTAAAGAATCCCCGATTTGTTAAACTCCTAAGCATGCAGCTGCAGTATGTTTATAGGAAAGACCTCTTTATGCTAAGAATAACCAGAGATGTTGTTATCAGGGTAAACCTCCTTAATCTACTGCCTTCAGTAGCTGCCCCTGTGCCAGCATGATTGCGGGCTCTGCCCTGTCTCCTCTTGATCTGCTCCGCTTACAACCTGCCTTCACCCTCCTCAAACACCCATCTATCCATGACCTTCACCCTGGTGCTCAGGTGGGCTGTTTGAGGTGGATGAACGTGGACCAGGCCTGATTATGAAGCAGCTTCGTAGTGTTTCCCTGGCTTAAACTAATGCTCCGCCTCCCTCCTATAGCTCCTCCCTGCTCCTGCTACCTCAACAACCTGTCCCTATCACCTCCTCTAGTCTAGAACAGCCAGAGAATGGCCGGCAGACATGTATCCATATCTGCTGCATCCTGCAACGCTTACCTTTTAACGAACAAGCATTTATTTACCCATAAAGAGCCTTGGTTATGGAAGGCATGCACTGAGTGCTGATGTATTGATTTCTGTCATCATTTACTTTCATATTTGTTTCTTGCCGTTTTTAATTTCTAATTGTTTGTATTACTAACAAAATATGGTCAATTGCTACTATTTAAATTTATGTGTAGGGGGAAAAAGACTTTTATACAGCTCGTCAGATTCATTGGATTCAATTTATCTCTCTTTCCGCTCTCTTTTCTGATTTCATCTCTCCTCCGCTGGCTTCCTCTTCCCTTCTTCGTCACGTCAGATCTGAGCGCCCCAAAGAAGTGTCGCGCACGCTTCGGGCTCGACCAGCAGAATAACTGGTGTGGCCCATGCAGGTGTGTATTTGGTGTGCCGGCAGGTGTGCTAGAGCAGGTGACAGCTGGGAAACTCTCTCGTTGGTGCCTCCTCCCACTTTTCTGGCTCTCTCCACGCCACTTCCTCTGCCAATCAACTTCTGCAAATCTGGGCGATGTTTATTTTTTTTCATTGCTAGGTGGGGCGGAAGGGTTGTTTGTGTGGTTATTTCTGTGTGAGTGTGTGAAAAAAGGAGTTCATGTAGTACTCCTTTTTGAATTGAATTGGAAAGAGGCGGGGTTAGATAAAAAGGCGGGGTTTATTTCCCTCTGTTAAGGGGGAGGGGTGTGGCCAGAGGGTTGAGAGGAGCTGGTCATGGTAAGTTTTTTGGGGAGGCACGGTACCAATGTCCACAGCTGATTCATTTGCTCTAGCTCCATGCCTTTTTGTGTCCAATGACGTGTGCTTTTTTTTTTTCTTTCTTTGTTGTGTTTTATGTTCCTCTATGGATAACAGATGCAAATACCCCTAAGAAGTGTCGTGCCTTGTTCGGGCTTGACCAGCTGGGTTTATGGTGCAAACCCTGCAGGTATATTCCCAGCCCCATTCTTGGGGAGAAGATATAAATTACGATGATGTTGATTTTAAGATGACAACAATCAGCTTTTCCTCTTTTGAAACTTTTTCCATGGATTATATTTTCCTACTTCAATCTCTGAGACCTTGTTACAGTTTATATGTTTCACAAAGTCTTCTTTCTTACTTGTTTCTGTCCTTTTCTGACTTTAGAAACACTTCAGACGAACTGAAATCCTCGGGCAGAAAATGACAAAAGCATAATTACACAGGCATTGGGGTTCAAATTTCAAGTCAAGCATAAACTTTTGAGTTTTTATATTCGTATAATTCAGTGTTGCTGGTGTTTCTGCCCAAGGAACTAATCTGCTGTTTTGTACTGTTCTGCCCTGGTCACTTCTGTTAGGACTGTGTGATGAAGCCACTTGTTTTGTGGAGGGTAGGGTTGGGGTGATGCCATCTCATCCCCCCTCTCTCTTTTTTTTCCTCCCCTTCTTCTTCCTTCTCCACTCCTCTCTTATAACCCTTTATTCAGTCCCAACCTCTTGTCTTTCTGTTCTAATACAAGCAGTCTTTGAATTGGGAATGTGTTGATGGTAGGTATTTGTTTCTGCTAAGTAATACCCTTTTCTGTGTCATGCTTGTGCACTCTTTCCTTTTCACCCTTCCATCGTGGACATCAGACGTTGTGCTGTTGTGATACTCCACTGTCCGTTTTCTACTTGCCCAACTGTATCCCCTGTTCCACCGATTTCATTATCCTTGCTAGTGTAGAAATCCATCTGATTCTCCAAAAATCCACTCCCTCCAGTCTGACCTCCTTCAGGAGCAGCAGAAAGCTTCTCAACTTTAGATTATTATATGTCAATCTGAGTGTTGGATGTTGGACGCATGGTCCAGAGTTCACGTTTGCCATACCTGCCAGTGGAGGGGTAAACTGAAAATTCATATACTTATATTTAATAACTAAAAAGAAAATTGCTTTAATGCTGCATTTTCCATTAGATATTTTTATGAGTTAAATATTGTATGAAAAAGCACAAGAGTAATTCATCTTTCTTTTGTAGACTGTTGAATCTTTTTGATTTGATTCGCTCATAACCAGCGTTGTTGTTCATACTTTTAAGTTGAAACCACGCAATATTTTGCAATTTCTTGAAAACAAAACAAAAAACTATCTTGCTAGCCAGTAACTGTTTTATTTGTATGGACGTGTGTAGCTGGAGTTGATGAGGTTGTATTTTTTGTGGGTTAGTGCCGTTCATCAGCACCTCTTGTTATTCAGAGGAACAGCCTGTGCATTTTTTGGGCTGTGCTGAGAGAAACGCTGGTAATTGCGTCTTGATTTAGGGAGCTGTAAGGTTAAAAGACCCCACTCAGCTCTGTTTCCTGAAAGATGCATCTGGAGAAATTCCCTCAGAGACCCATAAATCAATAAGGAACTCAGTGAGATACTTAGAATCAATATGGCTCTTAAAAAATGGATATTAGCTTATTTGCCGCTGTTTGACAGGCAGTTAGCACCTTGACAGACCCAAACCGTGTTTCGTAGCTGTACGGCACAGAGTAGAGTAGCAGGCGGATCAAACGAACACATCTCTGCCTCGATTCACCCATCTTTGACCCTGAAGTGCCACGTCTCCTCTTTATTAAGTCTGTTCTTTGCAGATCCCTCCGGCTGCATGTCGTGCATGCCCACCATAAATAAAGTGGGTTTAAGTGGCCGTGACAAGATTTCCGTCCTCTTTTTGTCATTTTTCTTCATCATAGTGTGTATCGACCTCCCTGACTGTCTCTCTCAGTGTCTTTTTCGCACTTTCGTCTAAAATCAACACGCATAAGAGCAGGCAGGGGTATGACTTGAGAAACAATCCTTACCTGGCTGTTATTTTCATGACGAAACCACAAAGAAGTTGGCGGTTAATTGAACCCGGTTCTCCCGCAACTCTCTAGCTCCCCCTGTCTGTGATTTAATTCCCTTTTATTTTACTCTCTTTCTTTTCTCTTTTTGGAGTTAGCCTCGGCTGCATCACTGAGCTCGCCCTTTAGGCAGGATAAAGAGAGTTTTTGGGGAGGAAGGAGGGTTGGTCAGGTCAGGTAGGGCAAGGTACACTGAGGTTTTCCCTCTCTCTCTCACTGTTTCTCTCGCTTTTTCTCATCCTATCGCTTCTTGTCTCTCTCTCTCTCTCTCTCTCTCTCTCTCTCTCTCTCTCTCTA